AGCTAAAAAAAAAAAAATGTGAAAAAAAAAAAAAATCGTAAGTAACATTGAATCTGTACAGTACAACTAACTAGTAATTGATAAGCAAGATCCTTTGAGACTGAATACCTTGTAAAAGAGAATTAATGTACAGCAATAGTTTTGGAACTGTACAAACAGCAAAAGATCAAAGATTTCCAGTTACTCCTCAGACAAAAGCTTTGACTTATCGATGGTGGACCCTTGTCAGTGCAGTGTTGCATGCCACTTGCAATTTTGCAATCATTTGTTAGTAGATATTGTTGGTATCTCGTAAACGGACAGCATTTTGAATCTTTTTTAAACCATTAAAACTTGTCAAAAACCATCATTTTAAAATTGATTCTTCCCTGATTGTAGTTGGTGCTTGATCAAATGATTGAGCTGTTACAAGCAGAGGAACCCTCTCGTCTCTCACCAAGCAGAAAGAGACGGAACTATCTGTCTCACAGGGTGGGGCCTGGGAGGACTCTCTCTTAGAGAGTCCAACCTCGAAAGGCCCACAGCAGGAGCCTTTGCAGTGACTTTTGGGGTTTGTAGCCGAAAAAAAATATGATAGGAGATAAAATGTTGTTTTAGAACTGGTACCTCGTAGGGTGAAAAAAGTTTCAAGCTGTGCGCACGAAACAGAACCTCTTAGGGGTTCTTTTCAAAATTTCTGACAAGCACTGCTGTCCTTTTTAATGGCAGTCTCTCTGACCCTGCATGTTAAAAGGCATATAATGTTAAGGGTGGAAATCCAGACAATGTCCGTATTGTAACACAATAATAAATCCGTGAGAGCATTTTTCAATGAAGCCCTGTCAGTTTTATATTTTCTGCTTTACAAGTGTTGTAATTTCCATTATTTTATCATGTGCAGGTCCCAGCCTTTGAGACTAAAGATGGGAAGTGTATTTATGAAAGCAATGCCATTGCTTATTATGGTATGTTTCTGTATGGCCATAATATGTCATATTTTTACCGTCCCCGAACCAACAAGTGCCCTACTGTTGAGAGAAGAGATGTATGAAATTTATTACCTTTAACAGTCAGAAAAACTGGTCAGACATTTAGGCCTCAAAATGATGTTAGTGAAATGTCAGTTAAAATAGACCTTTTTAATGATGTGGCAGCCATTTTGAATTCCATTGGTTCAAATAGCTATTATGGGATGCTTAGGGGCAAATACTCACCAATTTGCCCCCTGAGCATCCCATAATGTCTCTTAACAATAGAAATCAAATTGGCTGCTGTGTTGCTAAAAAGGTTTATTAGGGTGCTTAATAAATTATCAGAGATATTAGACACCTCTTTGGCTTGCAAAATTTAATAATCACTCTTTGCTGAGCTCTAGATGTGAATACAAGCTGATCCAAGCTTGGTCCTTGGTCCTCCGAACAACAAAATTCTAATAAGAAATCTTAGATTAGACTGCCAATACGAGATTTAGTACGAGTATAACTTTACAAATGTACATGTAGCACTTAGCATGCTTTGGATTATCAAGTTTCATACCAGTCTTGTACACTCAGATAATTCAGTCAACTGGTTGGCAACAGGGGGAAGTGAGAGCCTTGAGAACATAACTGGACTGGAATTCAAAGTCCTATTTTTTGTGGTTGTACTGGTGTCTAAAGCTTGTTATATCTCTCTCCCATTTTCAGTGTCCAGTGATCAACTACGAGGCAAGACTCCACTAGAGGGAGCACTCATTCAGCAGTATGTGAACTTTGCTGACCAAGAACTCTTGCCTGCAATGGCCACCTGGGTTTTTCCCACTCTAGGTTTGATGCAGTTTAACAAGCAGGTGTGTAAGTTTGTTCAGACAAGATGAAATTTTAAATAAGTGTGTGAGGGGGTGACTGAAGTTTTGTGCAGTTGTTTTGAATTTCATCTTCTTGATGCAGCCATTCTACAAGCTATAAACTTCACAAGTCAGCGATGTTGATCTTAAAACTTAAACTTGGTTATAATGAACGAGACATTGTACTTGGGGTGAAAAATACCAGTCAGAATAATTATTCAAATTTGNTTTGTTTTCGAGTTGTTTCTGTCAATCTAGAGTTGAATACGTCATGACCTGCTTCAATCTCAATCTGTACAATTTTTTAATATCGACTATATGGGCGTTTAATAGTATGTCGCGGTTTTAAACCGTCTAATATTTTGTCTGGGCTTAGTTTTGTTCTTGTGTATCGAATGTAAAAACTGAACTTGCATAATAAATGCTATTCCATTAGTTAGAGCTGGTACATCTTTTTTTGTTGAAGACCATTCCCGAAACCGTGCTAAGACGTGAATACCGCTCAATTGACTTCACGCCAAGGGGCCTGCAAAATGTGTTCAATTTAGAAAACCAACTCTAATAATTCCTGCTGACTGTATGTAAAGATGTTTAAAATAATTTACCTATCTTGTATTCTTACTCGACAAATTAACTTACTAGAATGATCTAAGAAAATTTAATAAGGGAAACATGGTTGTCAAAATACCAAAATAATGTATAAAATGTTTAGTTCCTAAAAAAATTAAGTGTGTGCTAAGAAAGAAGCTGAAGCAACCATGAAATATTAAAGCTAATAAGCATTCATTTTTATCTTTGTGAATTAAAATAAAGGAAGCGCGCGTCACTGAAAAGCTGTTAGATTTCTTGTCATGAGTTTAACCTGCTAGCGAGAGACTATTTCGAATTCTTCTCGATTTGAAGATCAAGTACACGGTCCTAAATATTCTTACATACTTTCACAGGCGATAAGTCGCCAATACTTAAAGGAAAGGATTGTGTGGTGTATATTTACGAAAAATTCTACAATTTGAGCTTCTGTTTAAAGTACAGGAATGTAGCAAAGACATCAAGAGGAAGTTGCGAAGACTGAACTAGCAACGAAGAAACACAAGGATAGAAATGTAAGTATGTGAACCTAATTACCAAAAGGAAGAGAAATAACAATTGTTAAGTATTAGATTGCAATCCACCGCATCTCGTACCACTTCCACTTTGTAGTAAACGAAGACTGCTAGTACCCCTTTTGATACAAACAGATTAAAATTATGGCTCTTCCAGTCTCCTGTTTCAAACTGAATGAATGGTATATTGTTTTTGAATATACATCAGTACAACCCCGTAACGATCGTTCGTTTTTCTTTATATCGTAAATAATTTATTCCTTCTCTCTCTCGTTTTCCCTTCTTTGAACGCCGCTGAATACAAATAGAAAGCGCTCAACTAATCTATCGGCAATTTTTCCTATGATTCACTAGGACGCAAAAAACTCTCGATCTCAAATACATCCTTCTTTAAATTTTTTTAGCGACATCACGCACCAAAGAGTGTTTCTTCTTAGTTAAAGTACACCTCGATAAGCTCCTGAATTACAAACAAAATTCCATAGGAGATTCAGTTGAAATGTACATAACGAGAACGTGTTGTCCACTGATGTGACGAGGTAATGGAGTTCGGATAAACGAGTGAAACAAGTATCATTTCACAGAATATCACTGAAATCACAGGAACAGTTCTTTGTGGCAAACGGCTTCTCTTTTAAATCGTCTTGCAAGGCCAAGTTCGTAAAGCCATTGAAGAAAGTTTTTAATTTTGTGAGGATAAGATCAACGGTGGACACAGGAAATGGATTATTACCCAACCAAAGTAACATAATTGTGATATCCACGAGGAAATCCTTTGATGCAGGTAACAGACTTACAAAAAGAAAATTAGGAACGTACTGTTTCTTATGATCATTTCTTCCTCCTAGTCACTGTTTTTCTCGGCTTTATCAATGCACGTTAATTTAATATACTTCTTCACTGAAGCTTTGTGTGTTGGTTGGTTTTGTTCTAAGGATACGTTCTTGGTTGAGAGCTTTAATGTTAAGTACAGTATGGTTTGAATGGCGATTTAACTGATAATGACGACATTCCTGCAATTGAGCTCATTTTAACCTGAAATGGAAAATGCTAAAATTCGTTGAATATATTTTTTTGGTTATTACTGCAAAATTAAGTATGGGTATCGCAGATCGTAAACATAGTATAATTACAGTAAGGAAAATAACCGTCGGCTTCTGAAGGTTAGTATGACTACGAATATATACCCTAAATAAAACGGAAACACAAGAATAAGGCAGTATCAAAGCAATAAAACTTAATAGCCTTTTTCCCAAAAAAAGATCTCCAGATGTCGTGCTTTTGGATAACTGTAGATTGCAGTTTGCTCCCTCGCTTTCTCGAAGAGTATTTCTGGAGAAATCGTTGAAATAATTGACATAATTGTTATTGCTTGTTATCTACCGTTGTGAGGTGTCCTCGAAAAAGGTTGAGACGAGGTAACATCTTAGGCGTCCAAATTCTTACTCTAGTGTTTTGGTTCAATTTAATTGGGCATAATATAACTTGTACGCTATTCAAATTATACTAATATGGCGAATAACCGAATTTACTTCTCTGTTTTATTCAATTTAGTCACCTCAGTTTCTCTGTCACCACTCGCGGAACCTTAGTTTGCCAGACCGACTGCAATTATAAAATACAAGTTACTTTATAATGTTGGCCTTTCTGCTGAAAATGCTTAATTATGCTGAAGAGCTTCAGTTCCAAAACTGATAAGGTATGCTCTTGATCGGTATGTTGTTGATCCCCCTGGCAACCATTGTTGGTTCAACGTTTTGAGAAAACACACAGTTGTTTAACAAAATGTTTAGAAGAAAAAGGACATGGTTTGAAATCATTTTACAACACTATCTGCGGTTTTCTGGCGTTCGTTAGTCAATTTCCTACAGACACGGTACTATTTTCATGATATCTGCCAGCCGTTTTTGCATATTCACCTAAAATCACCGATACTTATAAACATGGCACACTAAATCTATCACGTTTATTATTTTTATTCACTAGCATCATGGAATTTCACAAAATGGAATCTTGCGGAGATGAACATTTCGTACTAGAATGGAAATTAGTTGAATTGTAGTAATACAGTCTTGGTACCTCTAACACAGTAAAACAAAGCCTCGCAGGAGAAATTTTGAAACGCCATTTCATTATATTTATAAATTAATGTAAGTAAACACTAGATGTCGATCAATATTGGGAATAAATCTTTTTAAAGAAATGTTCCACGAAGCAGTACTGTCGGATTCTTTGTTTCTTAATTACTGAAGCAGAAAAGCTGGTTGCGTCACTGAGAATGAAAATTAAGTATTTTTCATTCTTTTCCGTACATTTGCGGTAAAATTGACTACTTTATTTAATGTGATAAACGCCAGAATCATAAACGAAAATTAATGACATTAACCTTTTTCAATATTAATTTTCACTGACCACTGATCATGAAATGTCTCGATAGACGAGCTTCCCTTATCAATTTTTCATAATGCAAGGCAATCATAAAAGAGCTGAACAATTTTGCCTTCCGACTGAAAAACATTGCACTTCTGGCTGGAGGCGGACTCGAGCTCATTGGCAGTAAACCTTCGTCATCATACAAAAGACCTATGTCTCATGCATTACACTTACTGCTCACTGTGAAGTGGACTGCCACCAAGAAATGTAGTCAGGTTAGATTCCTTACGAAATCAGTACAAGAAGTATGGGATATCTAAATGGCAAAAAATCTGTGTAAGGGTAATTTTAAAGTATTTTAACATCCATTTTTATTCATGATATTCTAAACATGTTTTGCGCTTGGGTGTGCGACTAAATCTGATAACAGCTGTCTATACCCAGTAAATCTTGCTGACTGGATGATCTGCAAAGACGTAAAGTACATTTCGAAAGTAAACAAACCCCTACGTTTCTACAGATCACTTCTTTCAGAGGGTACCAAACGTGTGCCAGATGTACCAGAAAGAAGGTCTTACACGTGCACGAGTGAAACGTGTTCCAGGCGTGAACCGATAAACCTTAATGACATTCTCTCTATAAAAGAGAAAAGAAAGTCTTCTTTATTATTAAAAAAAAATGTTACACCAAACGGAGTAACATATTTCATCAACTTTTAATTCCCACTCATCCATTACACAGATCAGTTTCATTCATTTTTAAGTATGTGTTATTTACCTTTTTTTAAGAAGTTGAGGCTTGAAGGGTCGCAATTCTCGTCGGAGCTTTACTGTGTGTCGCATGTGTGGACTGCTATCTCAAGTTGTTTTGATTACAGACAGCTTGATAAGCTCACGATATCTCTGACAAAACAAGATAAAGCTTACCGTCATCACCAGAGTCAGACCCGAGTTCAGTTATTATGATGAAACCCTACTGTGTCACTGTATTAATGAAAGCTCTCAAACACATTTGCAAAAAGGGATGTTTTTTTTCCTACGTTGTGGACTCTCATATTCACACATAGCTGGCACTATAAAGCAAAATAACTCTTGGTATTCATGACCCATCTCGTCCAATTTTTTTTTCTATATTTAAGACGTTTAGAACATAAACAGCATGATGTCACTGAAACCCAAGAGGACAAGTAGAAAAGGTCAAAACATGGGTAAAACGTATTTTCACAAACGTGCCAGTTAGTTCTCGTTTAGCCAACTATAAAAATATTGGTTGCAACCATTTTGCTGAAATGGCAGCATTTATACCTTGTAAGAAGCGAAATGGAAATAAAATTAAGCTATAGAAAGGCCAACAATTTAATGTCGCATGGTCATTAGCTTGGTTCATTTCGTTTCGTGGAAAAAAATTAAAACGTTCCGCGAGCTGTTGACGACATATAGACAAATGGCAAACCAAAATATATTGAGGACCAATTTAATTTTTCATGACATTGCATCGAGAATTTGAATATTAGCCGAGGCCATGTTTGGCTAAATCCTCTTATTCTCAGACATATAGCATCGACATCGATCAGGAAGTTCTTCAAGGGCACAATATGACTTTAACTTGCTCATTTTTTGCAGAAAACCTCATCAACAACTTGTTTTCCGTCTGGTTTTAAGGAAACAAACTCCTGAACAACGCCGAACAATTTTTGATTATTTGTTAATGCCATTATAGGAAAATAACCCCTGGATTCGGCCTTTCAAGAATAAAACCTTCACTTCATCCAATGATCGGAATTGTTGCTTTTGAAGGCACTGCGTAAAACTTAATATTTTTGCAAAAAAAAAAAAAAAAATCAAAAAGGAAATTAATGAGCTGGTAATCAAAAGAACCACCGCACCACCCCCACCCCTCTCCCCCAAGTGAATTAATTGTATTGAGACGTTTAAAAATGTACAACTTAAGCCAAACTGCTCGGAATAAGTGATCCGCCCTAACTGCAGAAATAATCAAAAATTATAATTCTAAGTCGTAGAGGAACCGTCTTCTAACTCAAATTTACAGGAAACAAATCTGTAATTAACCCTCACGATTTCTTGCTAAAAATACTAATCGGTTTCCATGTAGTTTTGAATGTTAACTGTTAGAACTTGGTGGTAGATTTCAGATGACAATTACCATTCACGATGATATAACGCATAGAGAAGTTATATTTCCAGTCACCACCTCCTTCTATTTCTCAAACATGTAGCTAAATCGTGAAAAGGAAAACTTTTAATACCGCAAAGCAGAGGTGCGACCTGAACGAGAAACTCATCAATTTTTCAAGAAAAACACCACTACAATAATTATACAGTTCTGTAACTTACAAGTGGAAGCTTTCCCTAAATAACAAAAGAACGTCGCCTTCGTCATGTCAACCAACAATAGATGGGAACAATAGGCGGGCTTAAAAATATACATTTGGAACGTACGGAGGAAACTGCAAAATAGGACAAAGAAACGGAAATATTTACAGGCCACGAAACCAAAACGGTGCACCTTTTCACGTTAAACGGCAATTTTTTGTCCTTGTTAACGATTAAGACACTAAAAAGGAAGCAATTGAACATTTCTTTCGTAGAACTGCCGTCTACCGACCAATAACAAGACTGCTGCAGTTTTAACAATATGACAGCGACAGAAACCCATGACAGGTGCACCTTCGTATAATTAATGGTGCAATTTTGAATTTATAATCAGTTTTGCGGGATGCTAGCTAATATATTTTTCACAGACCACAAGCCTTCATGAAATTAAACTCAACTTAGACCTCAAGCCGAAAAAAATAGTTTGTAAACAAATACAACTTGAAATCACCAGCTAAGGTTTTGTGGTCGAGGTAAAAACAATTCTCCATCTGTGTCTACTTTGTGATAAGGCTTTTACGGTCGTCATATACCCCAGGCAAATATAATGGTAACGAATTTAGCTGACACGTATTTGAAGTAAAACTGTTGCGTTTGGGATGTTGCAGGTGATCCAGTGCGATGGCTGTTAACGGGATTAAAGGCGAAGAAGCGAAAACGGTGGGCTTGTCCTCGGAGACAACCCCTCGAAGGTCTCTTCGACCTCGAGTGACTTTCAAAAAGAACTGTAAAGGTGACTGCATCACTATCAATGTAAGCGGTCGACGATTTGAGGCGGACAATTCTATCTTCGAACGGCATCCAGGTAAATGTGACCTAGATACGACGCTTTGCTAAAATAAATTATTCTTTTTGCCTGGAGTTTAAGGCTCGGTCTAAAAAAAATTCAGCTTGAGAATATAACAAAGGAATAACCTGACGTCTTACCTTATCCGTGTGTATACAAGTGTTTCATCTTTATGGCTTACGTATATTCCACTTAATCGTGCTCGGGTCGATTTATTTCCTAAATATTACCTATACGCCTAATGAAATTCTTCACAATAATACAAACAAAAACAAGATGAAAACTGAATCGGATGAAGAAGTGTGCGATTGGGAAATAAATGTTGTAGTACTCCTAAGAAGAAATTATTCAATGGTCGATGGAAAACCAAGCATAAAATTAATGGTTTTGTTTCGTGACAAAATCATTCAACCGATGTTCACCAAGCTTTGCAAAGGCACAGATGCCAAACAATTTTTCCGGTCTCATGTTTCTTCGTTTGCTTTTGGCTTAAAAATATTATAAAAAAATAAACGGTTATGTTTTAAATAGTCGCATATACAGAATATTACGACTTACTTCAATTAACGCTTGCGAGATAAAAATTGCTCGGGGCTAGTGCAGTGAGGGCAAATACGTAATGGATGTTCTTTTTTGACTATTTTTGCGGTCAAGTTGAATTATTAGGACTAAGGTATTGCCGTTTATGCAATTCTTCCATCAGATACATATTTGAGGCATGTTTGGAGTCTTTTAACCGGTCCGCCTAACAGTATCGTGCGAGAGTTAAGAAATATCTAATGAACAATGCATTTTAAGAAAAAATCATTTGCGACTTATTAAAGGTCAGATAGTAAGTGATAATATCTTAGTCACTTCAGAGATCTTCAGAGTAGATGTCTTTGCAAAACCATAGCATTTGCATCAAATCGGACGCCAAAATGGGCGTCGGGAGTCATTACCGATTCGCTTAGAAATTGCATATTTATGCCACAGGATTGCTATTGAACGGTTATATTACAAAGCATTACGTAATGTTGTCTTCCTGTGAAAAAGGTTTGCTTACATGTAAAAAACAGTAAAAGATAACACTTGTTCAATGGCTATTTACTGTATACTAATTTCAGGAATTTTGAGTTAAAGGAGCTTGATTTGCAAAATGTATTCAATTCTAGCAGTTGCGATTCCTTTGCGTTCGATGGTCTGCATTTTTCATGCTGGGAGCCATAAAAGGTGTGATAATTTATTCATGAAAGGAAATTAACAAATTAATCAGAGACGTGAATTAGGTAAGGTTGCTTGGTTACGATGAGGAACCAAAGTACTACTCGTCCTGTTTGGGTGGGGGGTTGCCGTTATTTCCTGGGATGGGGTTATTACCAATTAAATTCAAACCATCTGAAAAGCTTCAGAAATAACCTTTTTAAAACTTGCCACTTTCTCAGGGATATAACCGTTTACAAGAGTCAACAAAATTTCAGTGAGTTCAATTCGAGAGTAACCGAAAACAGATGTGATCATAGTACGTTTTGTAAGAGAAACTAAAATGTCGAACAAATGAACTGTGGGTCAACAAGTAGACGAGTGGCCAGGCTCAGTAAGAGGTAAGCAAGTGCCCCCTCCCCCCCCCGCTCCGTCACCCTTGGGGCTTGGGTCAGGACCCTCACGCCCCTCGAACACTTTCTCTCGATAAAGTTGCAGGTTATTCTGCAAGTGGCTCGGTGAATGAACTTTTTTGAGCAAGACTTAAACTCTTTCTTGTTCTGTTAACAGACACCCTCCTAGGAAGCACCAGACGAGATGTCTTCTTTGACAAGACCAAAAATGAATACTTCTTTGATCGCGATCCTGATCTCTTTACATACATCATTCAGTTCTACCGCAAAGGAACACTTCACTACCCTGAAGACGAATGTGCTTGTTGCTTCGCTGGAGAGCTCGATTTCTTTGGTATCGTCAGAAACCACTTCGGCGATTGCTGCTATGAAGTCTTCCAGGAAAAACACGACGATTTCGAGGACTATCAAAAGCGTCATGCAAAACCAATTGAAGAAGAGTTCACTCCCACGACAATCAGGCAAAAAATGTGGCAGTGGTTTGAAGATCCAGGTCAGAACATTTTTGCCCTGTTAATACATTACACATCTGCTGCTCTGATTCTGATAAGCGTGGTGGCGTCAACTGCTGAGACGTTACCATGCGGTGAAGTGCCTTGTGGCAAAAAATACAAAGGGCAATTCTACATTGTCGAGTCTACTTGTGTTATAGTATTTACTGTGGAGTACCTTGCAAGACTGTACGCTGCTCCCATCAGACTCCAGTTCATGAAACAATTCTTAAGCGTTATTGACGTTGTGGCAATCATTCCGTTCTACGTTGCTTTGGTTTTCCCCAACGCCGCAGGCGGACCATTCACAGTTCTTCGCGTTTTCAGAATCTTTCGCATCGTCAAAATGTCGCGGCATAACACGAAGGTGCGAGAGGCAGGGTCGTCGTTGTTGGCCAGCCTCTCCGAACTGAGCTTCGTATTTGTTGTACTTATAACTCTTGTCATATTGTTTTCAACTATTATTTACTATGCTGAGATGGGAGACGAAGACACGAATTTCACCAGTATTCCTGCTACATTTTGGTACACCATTGTTACCATGACAACACTCGGGTAAGTTGCAGCCATAGTTCAGCGAGGCTGAAATGTTGTTTTACAATCTGCTTCAGCAAAACTGTTCTCTTCTGTTAGGTTCTCCGAGCTCCTAAGTTTGTAGCGTTTGTTTATTTCTTTCACATTGTCCCTTTATTAATCTGTTTTGCAGATACGGTGATATGACTCCATTGAGTATAGTGGGACGTCTAACAGGAATAATTTGTTCTCTGAGCGGCATAATGGTGGTTGCATTGCCAGCTCCTGTTTTGGAAAAAAACTTTAATCGAAAGAAAGAAGAAGGACGGCCAGATCCTGTAGAAAGAAAAAAGAAACATAACCGCGCGAGAACAGCAAGCTGCAGTCAACTTCAAAATAAATAAACGTAACAAACAAACAAACGAACAAACGAGCAACCAAACAAATCAATCAATCAGTCAATAACATAGAATGATACACAACCTTTTGAAATTTTAACTCCTCATCATTTTCTTCGTTATTGTCTTAAGCATGACTACTGTCTTTTTACGTCCGTTGACTGGACACACGACTAATTCACATTGTATTGGCTACTCATTACGCAAAGCCGCACTTGACACAAATACGCATCATTTTCAGTGTTGCTCACGAGTTACAGGAACGAGTCTTCCTACAAGTCGATAGAATACAAAGAAAATGTGGTCTATTTCTTTCAGAAAATACTGAGAGGAAAAAGAACGATTTTCAAAGTGCAGAAAGCAGCGTAAGTTCTTCGTCCTCTCAGTCACAGCAATGCGCCTTTTAGCGCGCGCAATCTTAGAGCATGGTTTTTAACCAATAACAAAGCTCATATTGGGTGTTTAACAAATCAAAACGCGCTAATCATAATAAGAAGAGAAATAATTTTTAACATATATACCGAAAATATATTAAAAGCCATTAAAGAACTTGAAATACGTTTGCACTGCATTACATGACCGACTACTTCATAGAAACAATGGATAAATTTACTTCTTAGAAGCATATTCCTTGGACATTACTCTTACATTGTTTCTAGTATTACTGAATCAGTAGATGTACAACATTTAAAAGCGCACGCGGATCTTGGGGTAAAGCTCCCCTCCACATATTAGAGGAGGAAAGGGCCCATCTTCACTCCAACCCCGCATGATCCCTATTGTAGTGGACACAAGAGCTCATGTGACCAGAAAAACACCTCATGTCCGCCAATGAAAAGGTGTTTCTTTTACACACATAAACAACGGACAGCTATTGATGACGAAATATGAGTAACATAAGGACATCTTATAGACTTCGTATAACACATTTAAAGAAAAGCAAAAATAATTGAAATTACGAGGAAAACAGCAAACATTTAGCTCAGTGTGTAGAAATTAAATATTTTTACCAACCTCCTTAGCTGTTTAAATCTAAAGCCTCTTTCCTGTTTTCATGCACTTCCCGTATCGCAATTTGTCTGCAGAGAATTTCAAGGATTTCGTTCTCACGATCAAGGTCTTCATTAGCATTCTATTTGAGCTTCTTAATAGTAAAGAGATATAAGGATTTGATCGTTGCTGATAACAAGATGTTATCGATATACGAGAAGCAGTGAAAAAATTTGGAAGTCATATATGCATTTCCTTTTTTGTTTCAATTGTATTGTCACTGAAAAGCCCCATCCAGGGAGTCTCATTATAGGTATTGTGAAAGCGACCTACAGCCACTGCACACTAATGGCTAATCAGATTGCAGGACTTGCGTTAGTATACTTTTAGATTTGAACCAATGGCTGAGAGTGTACGAGTATCTCAACCAATCAAATAGCAGCATTTGCATTACAGTCGAACCCCTATTAAGCGGCCACCCTCGGGGAAATGCGAGGTGGCCGCTTAATAGAGGTTGATGTACCTTGAACATTTTCCACCATCGGGTAAATTTCCTAGTGAACATGGAATCACTTCAAGACAATCATGATAAACGTGTGTTTGAATGTTTTTATCACTCGTCACCTTCTAATCTGCCATCGTCTTTTCCAAAACAAAGTTTTTAAATTTTGGGTGGCCGTTTGACAGGGCTAAAGACAATAGAAAAACCCTCACAGGAACGACCAAAAGGTGGCCGGTTAATAGGGGCTTTATGTACAGTATTTTACTGACAATAATTTCGGGACTTTGATAACTGGCCACCTAATAAGGGGTGGCCGCTTAATAGAGGTTCGACTGTTGTATAGTAATAGAAGTCTAATACAGTTATTAGAACAGTGTTTATGATGCCCTTAACAATGTACAGCTACTTACTTCGAGTTCATCAGTCGCACTCTCATTTTCACTTGACTGTGAAGATGACTTCCACTCCGGCCGGTTTGTTCTTTAACTACCCTCATCCCGTGCATCACATCATACGAACTACTGACTTGCATTACGTTGGAGATTAAAACGAAGAAAAGTCAAATATCATTGACTTTTTCGTTCAAGTGCGTTTCTTAGTGGCAAATTCTGACATTTCTAAGCCCAAAACATGCGTCATTATAACGTGGTACTGTGGCAGAGCTCTAACATGTGTGGATGTAATATAATGGGTCTGCATCTAGGACAACCTTTTAGCGAAGAACGCATGTTGCCGAGAAAGTAAAAAGCTTTTAAACAGTACTAATCCAAAATCGGGCTGTTTTAACTTTCTACTTACTATGCTAAGTCCGGAAGGAAAAGTGTTTCAAACAAAATGTCGAAAGCGCATAGTAGTGAGGCGTCGCTAGAGCTTGTGATTGATCGGCGAATAACTACGAAAAGGCTGAAATGAAAAAAAAACAACCTATTTTACAAAGGTTGACACCAGGGAATGGCATGTTAGCGAGGAAGTAGATTCCAAGATTCCAAGAATCCAAACAGAACCCTCAAAAGGTTCACTGACGTTCCTACAGAAACTACACTGATGTACAAAGGGACACCTTAAAGTTTTCCAGAAGAAATAGTTAACATGACCACGCTACACGAAAACCAGAATAAACGTCTTCCGGCACTGTATTTACATTTTGGGCTATAGACGAATTAGTGATTAGCTAATTCTCAAGGAGGTTTTTTTGCCGTTTTTAGCCTTCCTTAAACGTAATTTGTGTGCGATCTATTGGTCTGTCAAAGTCAAGTCAGTATTCGCATTTCTGATTCGCACAATGATATAGTATCACTGAAGTGTGTCCTTTACACTGTAGTTATGGAGGTTCTATTCAGGCTTTTCGCGGCCTCCGTGTATTTTCCACGTAATTATGATAAGTGATACTAGTGTAATCAAGGGTAAGAGCATAATTAGCAATAGAAATTGGACAGAGTGGAGTACAATTCAGCGTAATTTCAAAATTGGAAAAGCGCGACGCCCATTTGAAACTACGAGCACGATTACTCCCTGAATTGCACGACACGAGGTCCAATTACTAATTAATCGTGTCTATAACAAATTTAGAATTAAAAATGTGTTTTGAGAACTCCTTTTGAGCGACAATGTTTGTAGCGCTTTTCACAAGTTTTTAAAACTGTACGACACATTGAGAAGGAAGCCATTAAAGCGAGTGTAATTTACGTGCGAACGGCATAGGTTTCCAATTACAGGTATCTAATTACGAAAAACCACATGCGCTTACGCTTCCGTGACAAATAGGGGCGCGGAGAACCAAACATGATCGAGAATTTTGTTATAGATACGATTAACGCAGCAATTGTTGCGTCATGTCGTTACTTTTAGGTGGAACACAATAATTGAGAAGTTTCTCTCTTGTTGATTAAGTTGATGTACCAATATGTACAAGTTACAACTGCGCTCTTGGACGCTGTACATGTCCGTAAAAGGATTTGGTGATCATGTAGAGTATTAGAAGCAGGAGCGCAGGAAAGAGGAGACTTAAGATAACAAATATTCCAACAATAAGTACGTCAAACCACACGTTTCTTTTATGTTCTAAAAACGCCGAATATACACAACTTTTTTCAACCTGAGCACTAAATAGTGTACTCTTTCACATAACTGGTAAAAATCGAGAAAAACAAGCATAACTGAAATAATAGTTATGTACACTTGGTGCACCATCACCCACGACGACTGTATCTACTTAAGCCGCATGAAAAATTAAGGCGAACATCTTACACTTTCAAGCGAAGTATTAACAAACTTTAAATCGAACTGAGTAATGTTTTTCACAAGGATGGCGAGTAACCTTTGTATTTCTATTCATTGAGTTGACACAAGAGAGCCGTTCCCTTCTCAATCCAGAAGTCTGATGTAAGGTCAGTGGGAAGATACACAGCTACAACAAAGTTAGTCGAGTGACCTGCAATGGAAAAGCGTTTCTGATTGATTTCTCGAGTCTCTTTATCAAATTACAAACTTCTTTTATAGATCTCTATATATTTCACTTTTGACTTAGATCCTACCTGTAGTGGACAGCACGCCGGCACGAGCAGACGTTTTGTACAGCGGACTCGTGTACAGGGAGGGATCTGGTGTGTAGTTCATCCGGGGCTCCATGTGTAAGATAGGGCAAGTCTTTAACCAAACAAAACAACACAGCGATGTAAGCAGTAATTCCGGAGGGAAACTGCTACGATGCAGATTAAATTTATATTACGTGCAGATTAAATGATTATGGTTTTACCGACATTCCAAGAGATCTATACCAAAATACGTGGTCGGTACTTTGTACACATGAAATGACTGCAATTGCCATTTGGTTTATTGGAATAACAGCCAACAACTATAATATGGCATATCCTCGCTAGAACAACGAAAGGCCAACTAATAGTTTTAGTAAAGAATGTTTACCGGGTTCATTTCGCCATCAAGAGCATCTCCCAGCATCATTTTCTCATCGTCCCAGCGAGCTGCGTCTATAAATAGACCGTGTACCAGTACTCCGTCCTCAGGCGACTCTATCTCCTCATCCATTGACAGAGTGTCGTCTGGACCGAGTTTTAAGCGCGCCTCGCTGACTTCCTCTTGATTGCGGTAGTGAGGCAACACGTTGAAGTGGAACGACAGCTGGTCAATTGGTAGATTGTACTTACGGGCGTGGTTCTGGAGTGTGCCGGTCAGAAAACCTGGCAAAATTCCCCCAAAACCATCAACATCTGTTTGTTCCTTGCAAAATCGATACATTATCAAGCGCACAAGTGAGGAGAAAAAAGAAAATTTTTCCGAGGAGAAATGATCTATGATTATCACTTCTATCATTAATAAAGGTGGTTTTAGAACAAGAAAGACACTGGAAGCGTGACATACTAAACTGACTCCCAATGCGGACAACAATTCATGTCCACTACCTGGATAATATGACATTTTTTTTACCAACATCCATAATTTGCACTTTTGCAATTTCGCTATCTCACGCATTTTAAATTCAATTTTTTTCCTTTTCTTCGTTTCTTGTCATTCACATTTCACCCGTCGAAGACTGTAGTTCAGGCAGTCGAAAGCTTGTAATTTTTTTTAATCGTTTCAGCCAGAGATGGATTTAAAAGTTTTACCGAGAAATATCCTAGTTTATATTTCACCGTACCCTCAGTATTTGTTTTTCAATCCAGTAGACTAAGGCTGAAAGTGGACGCCTGACTGAATGTGTACACTTTCGAAGGACTGCCCGCGGGTGATCGTAGCTTACATTGATTGAAGGGTAAGAAAAGGACAGACTTCGTTTTAGCGAAGGTTTGCCAAAAACTGTCCAGTCCCTCTGAGCAGAGGTTCACGCAAACATAAAACATAACTTGAATAATACAGGTTTGCTATAAGCACCTACCCTGAGGATAGAAGAAACCGGAAATCCAAAACGACTTCGGGGCGCCATGTAAAATCCATTGCTGTCATAATAAGGCAAGAAGAAAATAGTCTAAATTCAATTCACGATAACCGCCACTGTTGGTTTCAGTCCAAGCGAAGTCATTTTTTGGCGCTAATTGTTTGAAACAAGAGTATCGTATCGAATCTCCTACAGGGGAGGAAAATTACCACAAACGTTACTCTCTTCCCTCGCACAGCCCAATAGGGCCTTCTCAACACAAATGAATTGGATTACAAGTCGAGAATCTAGAAAGGAAGGGTTCTCAGGATATAACGTCATGCGCACAAACAAAGACAGGACTCTGAACTAAGAGGACATTACTTACTTCAATAAACATGCATCTGAGCAGTAAATCCTTGACCCAGGATCCAAGAGGTTTTAATGAAGGGTAAGCAGCGTTCGACCACATTGCCGGAACCTTAAACACAAAAGTTATATACCGTTTTATGCAAAACAAACAAAAAAACCGCACACACAACAAATTTATAAACTCCAACTGACCTGATTATTCAAGAAGTTTGTATAAACTTTATCCAACTCCAGTGACATCACTACCAGTCCCTTGATGGCTTTCTGGAGCTGCTGTAGTGACGTCTAGGAAGGGAAAGAAGCAACATATCAAAAAGACTGTCTTTAAAATTTCCATTGTTTTAAAGATGTTATATAGAGTGTGTTCACGTGACGTCATCAAATTCTCCAATCCAAACCTAAAGAGCCACTTTAAGGTTCTATCCTCATCAGGCATAAGAGGTACAAGATTTATAGCTGTTTACCACTTTCCAGCTCAATAGCGTCCTTTGTTTGGGAACCAGCGCAGTTTGAATTTCGGAATTATGGCGGTGCGTGACATAAAGCTACGATCGCGTTTGTCGAAAAATATACACTTTTCTCGTGACTTTTAGCCATTTTAGGAGTTAAAGTACTCACTTTATCCACTGATTGAAAAGTGTTTGTGTGAATGTCTTTTTGGTTCGGTTCGACTAGATAGCCAAAGTAAGTTCCAGATGATTACACTATTTTACGACCACCATATTGGAGAACTAAGGAGGCCCACCAACATGACGGCTCCGTACTAGGCTCTATAATTTTGCGCGGATCATTTTGACGAATATCTCAACTTTGGGACAACGCACACACCTTAAACTTGGAGAACTGTCTTCTTTATTTATCGTCTATAATATCGCAATTTCTTGACTTTATCCACTAAATGGTTTTTGATTTTATTTTTTATTGCGTGACAATGAACGCACTCTATAGAAACATCACAATGGTGGTTACGCTTGTTACGGTCTGGTAGCCTCGAAATATTAATTCTCATTACTGACGGCCATACATCTCTTTAATGTTAGTCCCGAGAAACTGGTCGTGCATCAAGACAACATCTCTTAATTGATGATTTTCTTTATTCTATTCACTTATCTGTTTGATTGTGTAATGAAATTTTTCAGAGAACGTTGTCGAAAGGCGAAACATTTCACCGTCAGTTTTAGGAATTTTCAAAAATGAGTTTCTCCAGTGAACATAGGCAAAATCCCCACTGGATTCCTTCCTAACTTCTCTGTACCATTTTACAACAAAAGTGTACAAGTATTGAGACCTAAGAAGCTGAACATATCACGAAAATTGTCCCAAGGTAAATTATAAAAAATACGAGAAAACCTGTACCGAAAATTGTGAAAGGGGAGTTTGTGGGTTACTGGGTTACCTTGATAACTTTCAGAAGAGAGTTAAACCGGTCAACCTCTTGTCCAAGCACAGTAGTCAGAGAGTTTACACGACCTTTTGCATCAGTCTGAAATCACAATCACAACGTGAGAATTGAAACTGGCGTAGTTTGCCCCAAGTGAAATTCTGTAAACCACAAGTGTCAAAACAGGTCAAAACAATAACGAAATGTGCTACTTAAAAAGACTGAATATTCTTGCCTCAAACATAGATTTATCTGCTTTCTCCATGTCCAGTAAAAGAGGCAACTTAGAGAGAATGCTTTCAGCCAGTTCAAATACAATCTCATCACTTGTTTTACCACTTCCTCCACTGGCTAAACGTGGCTGCACCTCTAACACGGCAGTAATGAGGGCATTGGTCTCTTGCGTCTGCAATAAAGCGTAAAAACATACAGTGCTTACAGGTTTGTTCTCTCACGAAAAGTCTGTTAGTCTCGTATCAATTTTTGTCCGAGTTAATTATTGGTATCTTTAGGACTGCTTCCCATCAGTGGACTTGACCGGCCGTTTAAATTCATGAGTAGATATGCAGAAGTTAACAAAACCGACATAAACATACCAAAACCTTAACCTAAAAGGACACAGAAAAAGAGTTACTGTTAGTAATTAATATTTTTTTTTTCGTCGAAAGAATTTTTTTTATTGTAATATCTTACATTACATTACATTACATACAAAAATTACCTGATACTTACAATGTTAAAGTAACTTACAATTTAACAATACTAAAAAAACGCACAATACTAACATTATTTACAATTTGTTAATGTCTTACGTTACAATAATATCTTACATTACAATTTGTTAATATCTTTCATGTTGGGGGTTAGCTACAATAGGAGGCTTTCTCACATATTAATTTGTGATTTAGATTTTTGTTCCTCAATTTTAATTTTGTTTGTCAAAATCGCGAAGAAAGCATCGAAATAAAACTCTTCTTCTTTTCTTGAGGTAGTATATAAATAATATTTGGCTATAATCATGCAGACGTTTAAGCCAAGATGACGAGCGAAGTTATCTGTCACGCCATATATTATTATTATTATTATTATTTTCATCGAGAGTGATCCTATCTCCATTTTTGGAGCTCCACCAATTAGTAAAGAGAGACCAAAAATGCCGAGCTTCAGAACAGGTAACAAAAAGATGGGTTAACGTTTGTCTTTCTCCACAGAGGTGACATTTATCATGT